AAAAAAAAAAAAAAGACGGAACAGAGACTCCCTGTAAAGCATGTAAGCAGGATAACTCTTGGGGGAACACCAATATTTATGGAGCTAACAGTTAAATGGGAATAAGTCAAGGAAGTGAAGTAAAGAAACAAGAGAAATAGAAGGCAAAATGAATACCACTGTAGACCAAGGGAGGGTCTTAATGTAGACAAAATACATGTTAAATAGTGTATGTAAAAATAGCTTCGATGTGAAAATTAGCATTTTTAAAATCTGTACCAATGTCAATGGCCACAATGAATCATATAGAAATTGCACTGGGGAAGTGAATAAGAGAAGCAGCAGAAGTGATTCTCTTATAATAACGATGGCACACGAAGAAGGCAGAAAGGAAAAAGTTAAGTGAATAGAGGTGAGGTCAAGGGCAAGAACTTTCAGCTCATGTTGTTTTTTTAATTTTCTTGTTTTGTTTTTTTAATATGGGATAAAAATTGAACTTGGCTGTTAGTTCCGGGGAAAGAATTGATGGAAAGGGAACAATCTAGGATGCAAGACTCAAGAACAAGTTGACTTGGCAGGTATCCAAGATGGTGGCTGCATTCCACTGGATAGGTGAACAGAAATCCTAAATGTGACGGAAGCAAATAAGAGGAAGTTGAATATGATATTCAAATTAGTTTAACCGTGAGAGGGCAGCTGAGAATCAATAACATTCACTACTATTTTTATGGCAGAGAAGGAAGAATCGATGCTCAGAGATGAGGTGGGAAATCCCTGAAGCTGCTAAGGTAAATCAAGCACAAAAGGAAGAAAGATACCAGTCACAAAGTATTCTTTTATCAGTTTTGTTCTCAGGACTAGTACCTGTGAGGAAAAACAGTGATCTCAGACTGAATCAGGTTATGTACAGAAAGGAAGACCCAGTCTCCTTAGTGGGGGCTTCAATAGTGGGGTACAGTGTTGCTATTGATTTGCAACTGCTCCCCATTGGATTCAAAGGTTTCCATGTGAGCCGTCAGTACAGAATATCACAGAGGCAAAGCAGTTTAAAGTCAGTATCAGCCAGAATTATGATCTCACAGAGAACTTCAAGAACTTTGAGTACAGTAAGTACCACTGAGGGATAAAACAGGAAATGTGGTATATGTGTGTACAGATATGCATATATATATACATATACACATAAAATACACATACATACACTTATGAACATATAGGTTCTCTCTCTCTCTCTCTCTCTCTCTCTCTCCCACACACACACACACACACACACACACACACAGGAATTTTACTCATCTATCAGGAAGAATAATATCATTTTCAGGGAGTTGGGTGGACCTGGAAAAATTATGCTAAGTGTATTAAGAAAGTCAGCTCACAGAAACATATGTGGGAATTAGATCTAAATTACAAACATAGATGAAAAAAATATATAGGGTCATATTCTTATGTTATATACAAACAAATTGAAGTATGGCATAGTAAGGTAGGATTCCAGTGGTGTAACTCTTTTGAGTAACTAACTTACAGTTTTACAAAATTCATACCAGGAAGCTAAAACGTGCTGTCAAGAGATGTGAGGGGGTAGGGGGAGAATCCAAGAGAGTTGCTAAAAATAAAATTTTAAAAAAGCAATTCAGACAGTCCTTGTACTTACTAAACCCTTTATTTTTTTTGTCTTTTAACCTGTCAATATGACTGATATTCAAACATTCACATTAATTCTTCCAAACTAAAGCTCAGATGTTGGACTTAACTAGATGTTGAATCTTGTGCAACTGCTTTACAGATCTGGAATGAAATACTCAGAGGAAAGTGGAGCTTCAGCTTCCTGCTTTAACTCCACATACCTCAAAGAGGGAAAGTCCAGGGTCTGTTGTCTTAGTCTAAGTATATCATAATTAAATTTCCTGTGTGCTCTATATTTTCCCTTTAATGCCACTGTGAATTTAGTCAAATTGATCCTACACTATTATTCTTGTTCTTTTATCACAGAATAAATATCTGGCAGTAGTACACAAAGTGAAAGTGACTTTATAACCCAAGCCTGCATTACATTAGGCAGGCTAAGGCATAAGATATAAAAATGTACTAATGTGTCTTGTATAAAAAGCCATGACAGCAAAAAACCTAAACGACAAAGACAGGCAAAATGGTTGCCTTAAATTTATGTCACAAAAAGTACATTACTGTATTTAAAAAAAAAAAACAATGCTATAAAAAACAGCCATAGCTAAATTCACATGAAAGACTTCAGACTTAGCTGTGCTTTCTTTCTTAAGTGATCATTTTGGATTTAGACTGTTTACCAATAGGTGGGGACTGGGCAGCTATTTTTCATCTTTAGAATGTGGCCTTTCAATTCTCCATTAACACCTCAGTGGCAAAGAGAAGACACTTCCAGAATATACAGATGGCAGCCTGAGCAAGCACTCTAATGGTGGGCATTTCATGTGATGCTGCAACACTCTTAAGTCTCTAGACTTCTGGGGCCCATCAACAAGGACATTACATAGCATTTGCTTCCTTAAAATGGCAACTTGGGATTCAAATAATATATCCTTTAGCAGAAAACAAAACACGCTCATTTAAACAAACCAAGTTACTATGAGACTCACACAATAAAATGGTTTTACTTTAAAAAAAAAACAATTCAGTCATTTTACTATGCCTGATTTTCAAAAGTCACTTTGAACAAAGAAAAATCTCTCAACCATTAGACAGTTCATCTGCATCACTGACATTATTTCTTTAAGGTTGCATTTACTAGTTAGTGATCACCACTGAAACTGATGTGCTTTTAAACTAAGTATAATTGGACTTACGGGGGAGAAACACAGCCATTCATTCTGTAGCTTGTAAATCATAACAGTGGGCTTCAGTCTCCCTTTAATTGGCTAAAAACCGTACCTAAGATAACTTCTTTTACCATGAAAGTCAATGAAACTATAAAGGTTACAAAGAAATTACCTGATTACTACTACTACTACTAGTTCTATTATAAATGAAACTAAAAGCAAAAGCAAACTGCAGTATAAATCAACGTAAATATCCACGACTGATTTACTCCAGAGTCTCAGTTCAATCTCCTCCTAAATCCCTTGCCTTATAGTTACTTGTGTTCTGAGACTGCCAGCAAGCCTCCACATATGTTCCTTTTAGCATTAAACACACAAAATTCCATTTTATCTTATGACAACGATCACTTCCTGTTTTCTAGTTAACACCTAACATAATGAAAATACACCCTGCCTGTAGTTTGGTTAGTGTTTTTTAGGTTCCTATTAGCAAGTATAATACTACAAATTCTTAATTTTAACGATTCTTTAGAGAATTACATTAATTAATATTATACAAAAATGAGTGTTAATTGTTATGTTAACTGTAACTAAAGAAGGCCTAACAGACTTAACCACCAAAATACCATTCCAACCTTTTTTAAAATCTACTTGAAAACAGGACTTGTTTTTAAAATAGTGCATGATTTACACTTTGTATTCTGTAAACAAGCTTTGATGCCCACAGCCTGAATTAGCAACATTCTGATACAAATTTGTCTTTGGCTCCACACCAAAGCTTTCCTATTACACAACAGCTACCTGAAATCGGTATCATTTTAGCTATAATGATAGCAGTGGCAACAAGCACACTAAAAGACGATGACGGGGGGGGGGAGGGGGGCGGGGGGGGGAACAGCTACCATCAGCCATTTAGACAACAGAGATCTTGATTATTAACAGTTCAGCATCCAGAGTGCTTGGAGAGAGGCAGAGACGGATGCTGACTTCCAGACAGCATCCTGGAAACAGTTCCAAGACATCAGCCTCTATGCGCGCTACGCCGAGGCTAATAATTAAACATTAAAATTAATTTAGCGTTCGAGGATAGATGTAATAATTGCTGTTCTGCCTGCTCAAATTCAATTCGGACAGGAAAAAAAAAAGTTCACAAAGGGCTTTTTAGGTATGAACTGTGCCAACCACTGTGGAACCACGAAAATTCCTAATTCCCTTCCTCGGGTTTTTACGGAGAAAAACATGCGTATCTAGAAAGGGAGAGAGATTCTAAAGGCTGGGAGTGAGGGGACATCTTTGACGTCAAGAGATACCCAAACCCTCCCTCCCTGCTGCACACAGGATTTTGATTGAAGGTTACCGGCTTCGTATTTCAGGCGAAATCCGGACAACTTTTAAAAAACGCTCTCCCCAAATGCAGTGGGGGGGGGAACAAAAAAAAAACCAAAAACCAAAAACAAAAACTTCAACCTACAATTCTGGGATCTGTGGGGAGTGTCGAGGGTGCGCGGGGAGCAAGAGAGTTTCCAGAAAGCTTATCCGTGAGGTTATAAACAACAGCGGCGGCAGCCAGAACGAACACAATAACCCAAATGAGCGACCAGAAGATTCTTCTAGTAAAGGCCGGGTCGGAATGAAACTTAACTGCGCCCTTTCGCACCCCATTCGCCCCGATGCTCACGCTCCAGGGCAAAACCCCTTCTCGGTCGGTCGACTTCGCCAAAATGCGCACTTTCCATTATCACGAGGCCTGGGCCCTCTTCCCCATTCTCCAACCCCAAATGCTGAGGAGCACCGAGACAGGAAAGGGGTGCAAGACGGAGGGGGGGTCTTCACAGCTGCACCCCACACACACACCTCCCCACCTCGCTGCCTGGCTTTCCTTTACAGTTCAGGTTCGCAGGAGTTCCTCGGCGTGCGCATTTGGAGGTGCGGATAGGGTAAGGGAGATGAGCCCCCGCTCTCCCCCTGGGCGGAGGGGGGGAGGCGGGGGGTAGAGCCAGAAGACGGAGAGGAGGGAACCAGGGGGGCGCCCGGTTCCCCACTGGGCCCTCCCACGTCGGCACTCCGGGCGCGCAGGGCCCGTGCGTCGTGCCCCCCCCACTTCCAGCCCTGGCCACCCGGCTCCGGGGCGCAGCCTGGCCGGCGGAGCAGGGGGGTGCCGGCGGGGGCGCCCGCGGGGGCGCAGAGCATCAGCCTGGAGCCCCGGAGCCCGGAACCACTCACCGATGCACGACGAGCCCAACAACAGCGCTGCCACCAAGGGCCACATCTCCGCGCCGCCCGGGGTAGCGGCCACCGCCGCTGGTGTCCGGAGCAACTGCCGCCTCCGCCGCCGTTCCAGGAAGGACAGGCAGCCGCCGCCGCCGCGGCCGCAGCGCAGCAGCAGCAGCCGGGCAGCAGTTTCAGGCGGGAGCGGCCGCCCAAGCTTTCCGGCTACGCGCACGCTCGCTCCCGTCCCCCCTCCCGCCTCTCTCCAACCCGCCCCCCCTCTCTCCAGTTCCTCACTTCGCCTGCCGGGCGCCCCTCCCGCGAGCCGCGCACGCGCACTCCACTCCACCTCGCCGCCTCTGCTGTTGACGCGGCGCCCTCCCCAACGCCCGCACCACCGAGCCCCGGATCCCGCTCCCGGGCCGGGGCGCGCGCCACGCTTCTTGGTCACGTCCCGCCGCCCCCTCTCCTCTGGGGGGAGGGGTGTGTAGTCGGCCTCAGGAGGGGGATGGTGTGCGCTCAGGCTTTGGGGGAACCCCTCTCCCCACCCCTCTCCAGCCGCATTAGACACACCCCTGCGACGCCCGTTGCTCCCCACGGCTCCCTCCATGCCCTCGCTCCACTTCACTCTGCACGCTTGCAGGATCTCACCTAACCATCTTCATTGGAGACTCAAAGGTCGGATCCTGTCTCCCTCTTTCTCTCCTTCCATCCAGGGTCTGGACCAGGACTGTCCTAGGTTCTCACCTGCGCCCCTTTCTGGCACTGCAGAGCACAACCCCATCTCTACATTGCCCAGGGGGTCACTGGGCCCCAGAGCGCGCGCATTGCCCTGGGCAGGGCGGTACCCTGGCCTTGCCCACAACTAGCTTCCACTCTGGACCCTGGTGGGGCGCTGGTGTCCCCCACCTCCCCTTCCGCCTAGCATTCAGTGGCCTCATGTCGTTTCAGATGCGGATCTGGTCCATCTTTTCTTACTTTGTTCTTGAGTGTTTTCATCCTCTGAGCAGCGTTGATCAAACCCGGTCCCCTGGGTGATGGTGAGCACTTTTTTAATGAGTGGAACATGAAGACCACAGGAACTTCTCAGCATCCTGACAAATGGGCCTCAGCGTTGAGTTAGAAATGCCGTAACTTCCCCCTCCCAGTCGTGTGCTTGAGCCTGGTGTGTCACTACCCAAGAGGCCCACCTCTGCCCCATACTTCGGTTTAACGTGCTTGAAAAATGGGTTCAGGATGTGATTCCAACCACCGCATGGACGAGGCCTTTGGATTTGTGGCTGAATCACCGGGGCCACATCACTCATTCTGACGCAGAAGCCCTTTTAAAGCTGCCTTTACCATTGATCCTGCAAGAAAAACTCTCACGTCAAAAAGTCAGGCTCTGCTGGTTGCACTAATGGAGGTGTAGATCCTGTCCATTCCCCTGCTTATTTTTTTCTCTCACCTGCTGGAAAAGAAAGCAATTTCCCACTATCATATTGGTAGGTAGCAGTTAAAAGAGATGCAAAACTTAAAAAAAAAAAAGAGATGGGATTGCAAGTTTTTAAGATTGCAAATAATTCCAACTCAAACGTGACCAGCCTGTGAGGCCACAAATGTCTTAAAATGTCACAAAATATGTTTTTAAATTTTTTGATCAGTTATGGGGCTTGAACTCAGGACCTGAGTCTCTTTGTAGTGTCACTTTCAGTTTTCGATGGGTTAATTGGAGAGAAGAGTCCCGCGGGGACTTCCCAGGCTGGTTTCCAATGCAATCTTTAGATCTTAGCCTCCTGAATAACCAGAATGATAGTCATAAGCCACAGGCACCTGGCTAAATTATTTTTAAGCAGTTGTACAAGAGGTGCCATTTAATAAAGCAGTTTGTGAATGTCGTGCATTTTGGTCAATGTCACCCTCAACGTTCTTAACCCCACCCCCTTTTAACCTACCTCTTCCTTTACTTTTCTTAATTTTGTGGTGTATACAATGAATTATTGATTGCTTTCTCCTCATTTCCCCTTCATTTGTCTACTCTCCCCAGGGCCCCACCATGCCTCCTGCATGTACCCATTTCCTGGTGCTGGTTTTGTTGGCCTTTGATCTAGTCTTTCTAAAAAAAAAAAAAAAAGAAGATAACTGGAAAGCTTCATTCCAACATAAGGTATACAGACAAAAGCTCTTGGGCCAAGCGATCTTTAATTTACCTATCAACCGTACTGTGTTTGAATCTTACCTAAATTTTTCTCATATTCATCTTGGAATTGAGGTTATTAGTTTGACATATTGGTTGATATATTGGATTGAGGTTGATTAGCTGCACTAAATTTTGTTAACTCTAATAATACTCTCCAGGAGCACTTTCACTACATGTGTTTCTAGTCTTGCCTTATTTTTTTTCCCATGGACTCAAGGACCAAGGTTTGATAACGACATTAACTGTGCTAGCAAATATTCTACTCCTGTTTCCTGGGTATCTCCTCTCAAGCACTCATAGCCACAGAATAAATAAAATCGCTACTGTCTATGACACAATAGCAGTATACTACATACTATACAATTGTTTCCTCTGTGTATGTGCTCCTCTTTTCCATAATTATCAGTTCTGGAGAGGTCATTTAGTATTCCTTCCTGAAAGATTCCTTTTGAACAGGGCAAACAGAAGGTGCTTAATAATGGTGTTGATGTGATTTGAGGCACACACATTACTGTAATGAAATTTGATTTTTCCTAATGATTGAAGAAGAAAGAAAAACAATTGTCTAGCAGACATCTCTCTAAAACAATGGTTAATAATTATGGTGGTCATGATTTGAATGGCAGCCTTGACCCCCTGAGGCTATCACAGGAACTGATCGATTCTTCTCCCACTGCTGCTGCTGTGGATACAAAAGAATCAGGCACCAGACTTGGAGCATTAGGGACATTGTGTATCACAGAGCAGCTGGTTGGCTAAAAAAGGCTGTCAGCTGTTCCTGGAAGCAACCAACCCCTCCCTCCCAGAACTGACAAGTGACTATAAAGGACTGTCCCTAACCTTCAGAGGTAGAAATCCAGTGATGCTCTGTCTCAGGCTGAGAGCTACTGAGACTGCTTTATATCTTCTTTGTACAGGAAATGAATAGACTAAAGTCAGGGCATGAAAGGCCACCTGAGTGATCCCCTCTGCTCTTGGGGCTCATGTTGGGAGCAAGGGTACAAACCCAAGAGAGAAAATCCACAGCAACCTGCTCTCTTCTCCCGGAGCATCTTGTACTCTTATAACTCACTTCCTTAAAAGTTTTCTTTCAGTTTATGAAAACACTTTCATTTTGTTTTTTGAATTCAGTTTCTCTTTCTGTAATGGGTTTCTTGGGCAGCAGGGGAGGCAATAATGCACCTGAGAACTTCTGAAGGTAGGTAGTACCCATTAACTATGTGTAACTAAATGAATCTTCAGAGTAGGGCACGAAAATGAAGGGAAAGAAGCATAATGTTCTCTTTGTCCACACCGATACATGCTTACTGTCTCCTCTAGGTCATTCTCTCTTGTCCTCAGTCCCCTATTTTTTTCCTTTGACCCTCTAATGTCAAAGTTGTTATGTTGTCTTTCATGATAAGTTTTTAACCCTAAGAGAGTATACCTGACATAGAAAGAGCTGTGCCTTAAACCTAGAAGAGTGTTTTAGACATCTGTGAACTGAATGGCTAGATTAACCCTTAAGTTATTTTAATTTATTAGAGCATCATTGGCTCTACTATGTTATCAGATGACTGCATTTCATGTGGATGTGTCTTTTTCATCTTTCACTATTTCTTCCTCCTCCTCCTTCTTTACCTTCCTTTCTTCCTCCTTCCTCCTGTTTAGTGAAGATTGTTGTATATTAAAACTTCTGCTCTTTGAGATCCAAGCCAACTTCTTTCCCATACTCAAGTACTTAGACTAGCAGCATTGGATTTTTCCATTCCTAGGTGGCTTCTGTGCTTCTGTTATCTGCTTTTTCTTATTTATGTGTTCATCCTTATGTTCTTTTCATCTCTCCTCACCCTTCAAAGCCAAACCAAATATCACCTTTTCCAAAAATTCTTTCTTAGCCTCTTTTACGTTTTTTTTTTCTTTTTGGTTAGTCATGGAGCTTAAACTCAGTGCCTGGGCACTGTCCCTGAGCTTTTTTTTTATGTTCAAGGCTAGCACTCTACCATTTTGAGGACAGCATTACTTCCAGTTTTCTGGTGGTTAATTGGAGATAAGAGTCTCACGGATTTTCCTGCCTGGGCTGGCTTTAAACTGAGAGCCTCAGATCTCAGCCTCTAGAGTTTCTAGGATTACAGGCACTGGTGCTCAGCCCTACTTTACTTCTTGACCATAATTCTGTCACTTGGTGTGTCTCATTACCTCTGCCATGACACTTTGTTCATATGACACTTTGTTCATACTACTACTAATATATGTCAATAGTTGTTTCTACATATGTGTATCTCCTTCTATCACTAGCTCAGAGGAAATGGAATTTGCCATGGTTATATCTGTATTTTTACTTAGCTCTTTGTTTTTTATTGTTTACTGGGCTTGGAGTTTGAATTCTGGGCCTTGACACTGTCCCTGAGCTTCTTTTGCTCAAGGCTAGCACACTATACCACTTGAGCCACAGTGCCACTTTCTGCTTTTTCTGAGTAGTTTATTGGAGATGAGAATCTCACTGTCTTTCTGTCTGAGCTGACTTTGAACCATGATACTCAGATCTCAGGCTCCTGAGTAGCTAGAATTACAGGTGTGAGCCAGCAGTACCTGGCTTATATCAGTTTCTATATTAACCATATGTGTCCAAAGAGATATATACACAAGATATGTATGTTCATGGCATATGGCATATACTATCCATGTATACATGAATCATAACATACATATATAATTCATATAATATACACATGTATATATACATATACTGTTTACAGGTTATTCCCATTATATTATCTATTATAACTAAACTAAACATGATCCAAAGTCCATGAGATAAGGTATACAGGTTGTATGCAAATACCACACTAAGGACTTAAGCATAATCAGGTTTTGCTACTCACAACATTCTAGATCTAATCCTAAAACTAATACTGTAAAAGTAATGAGTGATATGTATACACACATATTGTCTCATAATGTATTTGTATATATATATATATATATGTAGAATACATACATGAAATATACACAAGATCCATAATACATAAGTAAGCCCCCTCCTTGTGAACAAAATCACTTTCAAAGGTTCTGCCTGGACT